ACCAAATCAGAAAGTGCCTTTTATCGGATAAACTTTAACAGGAACTACTATCAATACCACCACCAGCAGCTGGCACATAACACACACACACACACACACACACACACACACACACGCACACGCACACACACCAGAAATTAAAATGGCCATTTTAACGGGGAAATATGTATTCTCCATATCTGATCTAACTCCAGATTTGTAAATTTGAAACTAAAGCAGCCCTTTGTGGCTGACCTCCTCGTGGTTCTTCCGCAGGTAGGCCAGCTCCTCATTCAGGCTCTCGATCTGCATCTCCAGGTCGGCCCTGGCCAGGGTCAGCTCGTCCAGCACCCGGCGCAGACCGTTAGTGTCGGCCTCCACGCTCTGGCGCAGGGCCAGCTCGTTCTCATACCTGAAAACCAAGTGCAAAACAGTTTAGGGAATCAACACACCCATCCTTCAGAGCTATTTTGTGCATAAATCTGTGAGACTATTTTAAAATAGCAGAATTACCGTGTATGATGCTGTTTTTGCTTTAATAACTGTTCCGCCCCCTTTTTATGATCGTTTAATGCTCAGTTGGAGAGAATTGAAAAAATTATGAGGTGATGCTTTTCTCTCAGCAACGAACCCCAATAGCACTGCATCCCAGGGAACAATTTCCCCCTTGGCCGGCTGCCCTGGCTATGAACAGTAGCAGCACCTCTCTAGGAGTTTCAGACAGAATCCTAAAAGCAGTTGAAAATAAAATAATAACTAGTCTTTTCATTTTTTTTTGCTTAACTTTTACTCATTATTTAATTTAAAACATTGATATTTCTTTAGTAGCTTTTACAAGGATTTTACAGGTTCAGGATCATCACCACCGCAACATTCTGTGTGGAAATTTTGTGGAGCAAAAGGGACATTAGTATTTCTTCTTTATGTCCAGAGGGTGGAGTAGGGGGAAGGAGAGAATATAAAAATGAGAGTATGGTTAATATTTTAGGTGTATGTGTCATCAGGAAAAAGATCATTTCATTTAACTCCCGGGCAAAAACATTATTAATTCATTTTGATACATGGAAGGTTGAGCTTTAGGACATCGGTGGAATTATCATGTCACATCATGAGTCAATAGCACATTACTTGTGAAGGGACATGAAATTAATCCATAGCCCTACGTTTAAGCAACTTGTATTTCAGGACATGTAATGTGTGAGTTGTGTTGGAATCTAGTTACTTTCTAGAATGTCCAATGTAAATTTGCCAGAACACTGACTGTATGGGGCAGGTGAACTGCAGAAAGTTTGATATATTTGCTATCAATGAAGGCAGGAAAATAGGGGACAAGAAGAGATGGTGGGACATGTCAGTTTCCATTAATCTATCTTTTATTCAACTCACTTCATTCTAAAGTCGTCGGCAGCCAGTCTTGCATTGTCGGTCTGTAAGATGAGCTGGGCATTTCCAGTGCTGGCAGAAATGATCTGGCAAAACAGGGGAGGACACACTGAATAAACACCCTAAAGTACCAATACTATGCAAATATTTTTTTGACAGATAATTTTTAGGTGATGTTAAAATGCTATTTTATTAAGAGTTTAAGGCAATTAAATTTTATATATATACATATATTGATTCCAGAGAGAAAGGGAGAGGAAGAGAGAGATAGAAACATCAATGACAAGAGAGAATCATTGATTGGCTGCCTCCTGCATGTCCCACACTGAGGACTGAGCCCACAACCCAGACATGTGCCCTGAGCAGGAATCAAACAAACCGTGACCTCCTGGTTCATATGCTGATGCTTAACCACTGAGCCATGCCAGCCGTGTGGCAATTAAATTTTTAAAAAAATATCTATTGATGGAATATTTTAAAAGTTAAGGAACATACATTTCCTACAGAAAGTGGCAATAGAGTCCCTTTATGATAAATGGTAAAAGTAAACTAAATATCTCAGTATGAGAAATTTCTCCAAGTATAGTGGAATTGAAAAAATTATCACTGTTAAAACACTGTAATAGTAAACAACAACAACAACAAGCAACAACAACAAATCAACATAATTCCCAAAGCCCCTCCAAAAACCATATTGTTACCTTATTCCTGAGGTCTTCAATCAGTGGATAATATTTACTGTAATCATTCTGTGACCCAGGATCTTTAGTCCCAGATCCTCGTGTTTCATACCACACATGAATTTTGTTTTCTAGCTCAGTATTAGCCTCTTCTAGAGCTCGAACCTTATCTAGGTAGGAAGCCAATCTGTCATTAAGATTTTGCATGGTTTCCTTTTCTGATCCAGAAAGAAGGCCTCCATCATTGCCAGAGAGAATACATAGAGAGCCCCCTCCCGGGCTTCCTCCAAATCTAATCCCCAGGCCTCCTCCATAAGCAGTGCCCAGCACTCCTACGCAGGAACTTCCAGAGCCACCACCAAAGCCTGAACTAGAACCAAACATGGAAGCAGCAGAAAAACCTCCCCCATGGCTGCCTCCAAAGCCAAGGCCACTTCCCCCATAGCCACTTCCAACACTGGAGGCAGACATGCCCCTGGCTCTGCCCGGTGTCCCACGCTGGGAAGACAGCTGCCTAGGCAGCTCAGAGTCCTGCACTAAGAGTGACATGGTGCTGGAGAGAGCCACAGCCTGGGAAGGTGGCCAGAACCTGAGAGGAAGCAGTGGCAGCCAGGCACAAAGGCTACCCCTTTTATAGATCATGAAATGGGTGTTGCAATTGAAAAGTTTACTCTCTCCATTCAAAAATATAGGGTCCCCCCCTTTTTTGACCAACTCAACATCTAAATGATTAATGCATACTGAAAATTCATTGGTATAGACATAATTGAATAATTGTGCCCATTACATATTTGATATACAGAAAAGGAAATCTGGGTGGAGTAGAGATGGTTGTCATAAGGAATTTTTCTTCTCCAAATTGTCTGTATACAATAAAAATTACAGAGTCAGAGGAATGTACCAAGTTCAAAGTGTGCCTCAGTGATTTCATCACACAATATGGGAGAACGATTAACTTCAGTTTTGAACTTGGAACCAATTTTGTGTTGAAATGTATACTTTCTAACTCTAATGTATATATGTAAGTTTAAATAATTTTGCTCGATATCTATGTATTGTGTTTACACATTATACCTTTATGTTTCTATACGTATCATGTAATATCCTGGTCTGTAAGTTTCTCAGTTAGGGACTATGTCTAATTAATTTTTTATCCCGAGTCATCGTCTAGTGTTTGGCTAAACTGTATCCACGCACTCCTGGAGTTATTTCACTTGAAAGAACTTAATCCTTAATATGCTTGAAAGTGTCATTTAAAATTAATTTCATTTGAAAATGACTTTGCTCTAATTTTCTGGAATGCTTTGGCCAAGATTTATTCTGAATTCAATTATACATGGGGAGCAACTTCAGAAGTTGCAAAGAAATATTTATTCTTTAGTGTTTATTTTGGTGGGGGAGTGGAGGGAGGGCTAAGTTAAATAATCATATCTCTATTCTGGAGTTTTTAGAAGTGGAAATAATTTCGTTGACAGCTGTAAAAATGTAGGAAGGTGGGAATGCATAAAACAGAAGCAATCTTGGTTTTGTTGGCAAAGTGATTACATAAGATGAGGCAGAGAAGAAAATGACTAGAATTAGGGTGAACTGTTAAAAAAGATTATATCTTCATTTTCATAGAGTTTCCGGAATACTCAAAATGGAGATAATTATTTATGTGGTCTTTGTAAATCTTTAGGTTTTTATTAAGTACAACTAGAGGCCCCGTGCACGAAATTCGTGTGTGTGTGTGTGTGTGGGGGGGGGCAGGCAGGGGAGAGGAGGTTCCCCTCAGCCCAGCCTGCACCCTCTCCAATCTGGGACCCCTCAGGGGATGTTTGACTGCCAGTTCAGGTCCGATCCCGGCCTGATTGCCCCCCCATCCCCCCTGCCGGTCTGGTTGCCACACGCAGCCTGCAGCTCGGTCATTTGGTTGCCCCTCACTACCTCCCCCCACCC